AATTCATTATGATAAAATAATAAATAACTAAAATTGAATAATATAAATAATAATATGAATAATAGAAGAAATTGAATAATGAATAATGAATAAATATAAATAATCAATTGAATAATAGATGAAATTGAAGAGAGTTTGATCATTGGAGTTGAGAGATTGAGAGTGGAGAGTTGAGAGTAGTGAGGAAAATGGGTGGGAATTAAGGGTCAACAACCATTTGACCGTTGGCTCAACAGTCCAATTTTTTTGTAAAATTACATTTTAACGTTTCCATTTACTGTCAATTTCATAATAAAGGATATTTTATAGGGGTTTGGGCCTGGTCGGGACCTAGTACTAGCCCTTATAGGACCCATTTTTTGGGCCGGGCCCTTTGGGCCCAGGTTTAATTCCCACCTCTAAAAGTGGATTTAAACAACTTTTAGGATTCAAAAATTGCTTTAGGGAGTGTCAATTACAAAAATACCCTAAGAAAAAATGTAAACACTAAATTTTTGTATAAATAATTTTCTAATTAAATTATAAACATAATAAAAATATTAAAATACAAGAATCCTCGCTTCAACATTTGACCATAGAGAGCCATAAAAGTTTCTACCAAACTTTTTCGGTTTGCTAATATGGCCTCTGGCTTCCTCGTCAACTCCGTTGGATTAATTGCTCGAAGAATTATCCAATGGTGTTGGCGGCGTTGGGAAACTTGTGACTGACCACCTTATTTTATTTTATTTTTTTAATTTTAAACATTTTTGGTTAAAAATATTTTGTAATATATTTTAGTGTTAATTTCATCCGCCCCCAGAGATGCTAAAGTAGAAAAATGCCCTTACGATTAAAAAAAAAAAAACTACTACAAATGCCTCTCTGTCCGCTAATTAATTAAAAAATACAAGAGTAAATTTATAAAATCACAATAATAAATAATCATTTCAAACTAAATTTGGTCCTTAATTATGAGTAAAAGTATGTACTCTTCATAAGGAAACATTATTATTACATTTCACTTTCCAAATATTCACATTATTGGAGTGTTGGGGACCTAATATTGAGACATTCAATCGCTTTTCGAGATAATGACATGAATAATGTTTGATATACAAACTTTATATATAAATCAGTTTGATTAAAATAAATAGATGAACGACTAATACTACATATACAACATAACGTGACAAAAAATATTGAGTGAAGTGTATTTTTAATTTAAAATTATGTCACAACATGTTGTATGAAAAATATTATATAAAAATATTGTGTGTAATATTACGCTAGATGAACTTATATAAAATGTTGTATATACTCTTAAAACATATATGTAATTATTAAATTCGATTCCCTCGAATAAAGTTAGTGCTTTTGACTGCTATATTACCGGGAGTTAGGTTTTTTTGACACAAAGTTAAATCGTTCTTTGCTTAAAGTAATAACTGCAAACTTTCACTAGGAGCTTTTTGTTTCTTGATGACATAAAGTGGTGATGGGAGTTTCCACTTTATTTATAAGGTGTTGGATCTTAGCTGGAGATTATAAATTTTTTTTAAGGTAAAGTTCTGAAAAGCCGTATCATTTTTGTATTATATTATTATTATTATTGAGAAGATAAATGAATTATATACATGTTGATAATTTTAGTGTTTGAGGAATTAGTTGAGATGTATACAAACTATTTCAGACACCCTGATCATAAAAAAAATAAATAAATTATATATCTTATTCAAGTATGAGTGTCGTGTCATACCCCCATCCACTATAAATATTACATAAATTTTATTTTATTTTTTGAAATCATTACAGTTTACTGATATTCCCAAATTTACATGAAATGTACATTTAATAGCATGCTAAACGGTACACTGATAATTAGATTAATTATAAACTGAAACACAAAACTTGTAATATAATTTGAAATGTCGATTTTTATGTTAAACTTTATAAATTTATTATTTGAATATATTGATAGAAAATGTCGTAAATTAAAACTGTTAAATGAAACTGTTGATGCGTGATTTTGATACCAATGACTAGCATGTGCAAAGTGTTAATCTATTCTTAGAAATTACACGTGATATGATTGATTCAAGAGCTAATCAATATAATCGAATGCAAATACTGAATAATAAATGAGAAATAATTTTTAAAGTGGTTCGGTTGCTTAAAACGATTCTTATATCCACTGTTTCTCTTATATATGAGAGATTACAAGAGGTAGCATAAAGCGACCAGCGAACAGAGGTACAATAACTGAGTATTCAGAGAGAATATCGAGTCAGTCTCTTTCTCATAGGTTATCTTTGCTCTGAAAATAAATATTAAAATTAGAATGAGGGTTCAAGATCAGAATCCCGAAAATAAGAGGGGAGTCCTCTATTTATAATAGAGGAATTCAAGGTAATGATTACAAATCTGCAAATGGGTAGGTGTCGTGGAAGTCCTTCCTTGCCTCCCATTAGCTGATAACTTAGGAAATATCTTCAAATTATCTAGGGCTTGGATAGGTGTGCAGTCCTTAGTCCCTCATAGACAAAACCTAAATCTGATAAGTTGATGACAGCCGTTATCTTTCTGTCTTGGGTTGACGTGGCAGCACTTGGACGACACAAAGTCTTTCTAAACTCTGATTGGTGCTTGCTGATGTAAGCTTATGTCAGCCCTGGTTTTTTAGGCATAACAGAAACTATTGACAAGAAATATAAAATGAACATCATACTAAGTATATAATGAAACGTGGGACTTGTAATACGAAATAAAATGTTAAGTCTTACATTCAAAATCATTAACTTATTGTTTTAAAATCTGATTAAAAAGAGAAAATACATGTTTAATACATTATTTGAAATATGATATTTTGAAAATATTTAGATTANATTATTAAATTTGATTCCCTCGAATAAAGTTAGTGCTTTTGACTGCTATATTACCGGGAGTTAGGTTTTTTCGACACAAAGTTAAATCGTTCTTTGCTTAAAGTAATAACTACAAACTTTCACTGGGAGCTTTTTGTTTCTTTATGACATAAAGTGGTGATGGGAGTTTCCACTTTATTTATAAGGTGTTGGATCTTAGCTGGAGATTATAAATTTTTTTTAAGGTAAAGTTCTGAAAAGCCGTATCATTTTTGTATTATATTATTATTATTATTGAGAAGATAAATGAATTATATACATGTTGATAATTTTAGTGTTTGAGGAATTAGTTGAGATGTATACAAACTATTTCAGACACCCTGATCATAAAAAAAATAAATAAATTATATATCTTATTCAAGTATGAGTGTCGTGTCATACCCCCATCCACTATAAATATTACATAAATTTTATTTTATTTTTTGAAATCATTACGGTTTACTGATATTCCCAAATTTACATGAAATGTACATTTAATAGCATGCTAAACGGTACGCTGATAATTAGATTAATTATAAACTGAAACACAAAACTTGTAATATAATTTGAAATGTCGATTTTTATGTTAAACTTTATAAATTTTTTATTTGAATATATTGATAGAAAAATATCGTAAATTAAAATTGTTGATGCGTGATTTTGACACCAATGAGTAACATGTGTAAAGTGTTAATCTATTCTCAGAAGTTATATGTGATATGATTGATTTAAGAGCTAATCAATATAATTGAATGCAAATACTGAATAATAAATGAGAAATAATTTTTAAAATGGTTCGGATGCTTAAAGCGATTCTTACATCCACTGTTTCTTTTATATATGAGAGATTACAAGAGGTAGCATAAAACGAACAGCGAACAGAGGTACAATAACTAAGTATTCAGAGAGAATATCGAGTCAGTCTCTTTCTTGTAGGTTATCTTTACTCTAAAAATAAATATTAAAATTAGAATGAGGGTTCAAGATCATAATCCCGAAAATAAGAGGGAAGTCCTCTATTTATAATAGAGGAATTCAAGGTAATGATTACAAATCTGCAAGTGGATAGGTGTCGTGAAAGTCTTTCATTGCCTCCCATTAGCTGATAACTTAGGAAATATCTTCAAATTATCTAGGGTTTGGATAGGTGTGCGATCCTTAGTCACTCATAGACAAAACCTAAATCTGATAAGTTGATAACAGTCGTTATTTTTCTGTCTTGGGTTGACGTGGTAGCACCTGGACGACACAAAGTCTTTCTAAACTCTGATTGGTGCTTGCTGATGTAAGCGTGTGTCAGCCCTGATTTTTTAGGCATAACAGAAACTATTGACAAGAAATAAAATGTTAAGTCTTACATTCAAAATCATTAACTTATTGTTTAAAAATGGTGGATCTGGCCAGAAACAGTCAGATCAAAACACAATCGACTAGATCCGACCAATCATTCGTCGTTCTGACACTGGCGACCGGCAGCGGTTGGCGGCCAATAGTGGCTTGAGTGGGTAGAAGTGTTTTTGTTAATTTATAAACTTTTATTGTAAAATGTAATTGTTAAATATTTTGAGTTAATAGAATAGGGTAACAAGAAACAATTTTCCATTTTCAGTCCAAAAAATGTCTTTGAATAGGATTAGATTTCAAATTGAATTCTGTCAATATTAAAACAAACACGTTTTTTTACTATTTACTTTAAATAGAATAATAAAATAAAGTTTTAAATAGTTAAACAAATAGGGTATTATTTTTCAAACAAGTGCAGTCACTATTTCCAATCAATTAGGTCCCACATCTTTTGCTAGATTATTAGAAAATAGGTAAAAATAAATCTTTGTTGTCACTGCCTCACTGGATAATTTTATTTATTTATATTATTCGGGATATAAAGTAGCAACATGTCTACGCTTTAATAAACAAAATATACGGAAGCGTGCATGCATTCTTTTAATTTTTTTCAGTTGTCTTTGTCTTGGTTACTGTAGGTTTTGCTCATCTTTTTGTTTTTACTTTTGTTTAAATAAATCTTTTTTGTCCCGCTATGGTTGTGACTGTAAAGGCTTCTCATTGTATATATATACGACTGGATTCAAGACATAAACCATTAAACAAAGACAAATGATGATGCCAACAGGGTTCAGATTCAATCCCACCGATGAGGAGCTGATTGAAATATTGGAAAGAAAAGTATCGGGGCAAGAGATGCCTGTGCATGATACTTTCATTGTTGAAAGAAATGTATATGAGCTTGATCCACAGGATCTTGAATGTGTGTTCAGTTTACATTCTCTCTTCATTTCTTTGTTGTTCATTTGATTTCAGTTCAATCATCTTCTCTATTGTCTGTTTTATGTTCGTTTAGAGTTTAGGATTCAGCATGATGTAATGTCTTCATTTCTCCTTAATGCTTAATTTCGGTCCCATGAAGTTCTGACTTTGATTCGCATAGACTCCATATTTCAATTTTATTTGGTTCTTTATTTATAATTTAATTTTCTAAAACACTTTGCATTTGCATGGTTTTTAGATGAAGTTCTGATATTTTGCATTTGCATAATTGCCATGCGTATCATATACTCCATCTTTCTTTTTATGGATAAGAATCAATAGAATTTTCAGTTTCCTTTTTTTTTTTGTTTTTTTTGGTTTAAAAAAAAAAAAGTAAAATTGTTGCTTCATTTGTAAACAAGAATTGCCTAAGTTTCTGTGCAGGACTGAGAGAGAGAGAGAGAGAGAGATCATAAAAGCGAAGTGTATGATTGTTGTTGATAATGACTATTGAAATAACTTAAAATTTGAATCTCACACTCTAAACCAATTAATATGATTTTGATAATGTTGTATATACACCATTAACCTAAGAAACATGAATAAAATTTAATCAGGCAATCATGTTCTATAATTGATTTTACTCTAACATATGTTATTATTATTTTATAATTCGTGCGTATCATTTTAATAAGTTTTATCCCAGCTTATTCATTTAATAAATTTCATATTGTTACAGGGGATCCAACGGTGGTGTTATCTGATAATGAGAGATACTGCTATTATATAAGGGCAACCGATTCCAGAGAAGTAATGGGTCGAGGATGGTGGAGAGCTACCGGTCATGTTAAGAAAATTTATGCTGATAATGATAATATTGAACATGTGGTGGGTTACAAGAGGCCTCTCACATTTGTCAAATTTACCGATAATGAAAGAAATCGAAAAAATGCCTTCAAAACTAATTGGATTATGCACGAATATAACCTTGACTCCAACACAACGGTTTGTGCCCTTTTCATGCTCCTATGTTTAATTTTTGAGTGTTATTTATGGAAAATTATACTATAAAGATTAGGAAAATTATTACTTTTTCAATAACTTGTATTCAAATTTGGAAAAAGAAAATATGTTGGGTGGAATAAGGTCTTATCAATGTGTCAATTCCATGTTCATTTAAGGCCCATTTTTTCCCCCCTTTTGATGAACAATGAACTTTTTCTTTCAAAGAATATCAATGTACCAATGCAAAATATATTAAAAAATAAAAATAGAGGAGCAAAATGTATTATTGCCACCCACTATTTTGATAATCATTTTGCTTCCTAGAGAAATGTCTTCTTATGCCTCATTCATAATTTGATTTTTCAATTTAATTTTTGATTTTTCAGGAATGGAGACTTTGTAAGATCATGTATAAAGGAAAGTCAAGTGTGAAAGAAGAGGTGGATCACAATACTAAGAACGACTACACATTAAGGAGTACTGATTTTGAAGTCAGCTGCAACAGTTCAATAATAATGGTGATGCAACCAAATTTTATTGGTGAAGAAGAACAGGAGCAACCAGAGCTAGACAATTTTTATGAATATGACCCTCATTCTGAAGCCATCAGCAGTTCAATAATGGTGATGCAGCCACAATTCTTAAAGATAGACAATCTGTATGAAACTTTTTCTGAAGTAAGCAGCTCAATGGACATGCAGCTTTTACAGCAATTGCCTCAGATTTTACAACTGGATGATGAAGTGAATGGATCTTATAATTTTAAGGAAAATATGCAAATGGAAGTGATGGATGATCACCAACAACAACAGCAACAATCAAATGCATCATATGATCCGATCTTAACTCACATTACTACTTCGAATTATTTCTTCGATGTATCGGATGAACTATTTCCTAGCCTTTGGTCTTATTAGAATTTTTTTTATTTTTTCTGAGAAACCTCGGTGAAATGAGTGAAATTTACTAGAATTAGCTTTTGGTTAATTTCTGTATAGAAAAATTTATGTCAGGATTGATTCATTTTATCGTTTGAGGTTCTTAAGTTTTTTGTTTGAATGAATGATTTGTTCAATTACACATTCTTCTTTAACTTTTTCTTTTTTTTTCAAGACTATTGGATTTTAATTCTTTCACTAATATTTTAAAATCCTCAACAACAACAACAACCAAAAAAAAAAAAAAGATTTTTTAACAAAAAAAATTCTGATATTTATAGTTGAAAAAATATATCACTATAGGGTCAGCATTGAGAGACAAATATAATGCATCAACATTACTGTTTTCTGATACTAAAAAGAGCATCAATAGCTCGTCGAGATAGGTTGGTTGGGAAAAGAATGTGTCGGAAACTTTGTCCATTCTCTTCCCCAACACAAAGCCAACGTCAAGAGTACATGTCAACACCGGTGCTATATTGGTTGCCCAAATATCATCTATTCAAGGTTAGTGATAATTATTAATTATTTTTTTTCATTTCTCGTTGTATGATGTATGGTTGATAAAATATGGTTTCTCGGTGTTGAAATCCATGAAAGGTAGTTTATTGTTGGGATGGGAGCGGGTTGGGGTAGGGTGGAGCCGGGGATCCCATTCTCTGGGCCTATCCTCAACCCCTTGGGGATTCCTCAAGCCCGACCCATCCTTAGGGTCGGGGATGAAGGGGGATCCCAAGCCCAGCCTATGGGGATTAGGTTGACCCTCGGCCTCGCCTCCGTCAACGAGGTCTTTGCGAGGTCAACGGGGTCAACGGTTATAATGGGCTTTAGGATTCTTGACTGTGTGCTAGGTTAGGGCTTTGATGGGCTTTAGGATTCTTGAGCGTGGGTCGGGTTAGGATTTTCATGGGCATTAGAGCCTTAGGTTTTTTATTTTTTGTTTTTTAAAGTAAATTATCATTGAATAATACTTTGCGTACTAACGGATTTTACTAACCAGTGTACTAACCTTTGTTAAAATCACATATAGTACCCGTACTATGCGTATGGCACCCGTACTATGCTTTAAGTTAGTACATTGGTTAGTAAAATCCGTTAGTACGCATAGCATTACCCATTATCATTTGTATCTAATTTTTAGAAGTACAAGGGTTTGTTTTTTAATAGATTAAGATGTTTTAGGTTTATTCATTTTTAGATAAGTAAAAAGCTAAAATATTTAGCTTTTATTTGAATACAAAAACATTTATTATTACTCATTTATATATGATTTCACTCAATGTTCCCACAATTATAATCAAATTTGATCAATTAATAGTGTGAAAATAATAATTATTAAAGTGGTAATTTCTTGACAAATGTGATATTTTTTTAGAAAAGAAAATGATTAAGATAATTTCAAGCAAAATTACTGGACAAATTAATTACAGATTATTATTTAAATGAAATGTTACAAATTAATTATAACATGTAGTAAGACTTGTTAGATATAATCCATGATCAATTATAATATGTAGTAAGACTTGTTAGACTTGTTAGATATAACATTATTAACTTGTTAGATATTTAGTAAAATTAGATATTAGAATTCAGAAAATATTATTGTCTAAAATTAGATATTAAACTTATGTGATACAATTTATTGTGTCTCTCCATCTTTATAATACACATAAAGTTCATTTGCCTTCTTCTAATAAATTGGTAATTTTAATTTACAACGATTTTAATTTGTTCTTGTATAAAGTTCCTCTTCCTTCTTCTAGTTAATTTGTTTAGTTTGTTTCATTGATTAATTTTCAACTATTCAAATTAATATAATATTAACAAGATTTATTGAATATTGATAAGATTGCATAGAAATATCTTATATTAAAGTTTTTTAATGAAATGGTATTATGTATTTTTATGCAATATATATATATATATATATAATAATAAAATTATTTCATTATCGATTATAGAAATAACACACTTCAAATTTAATACTTAAAAGCATGAATTCATCATCATTGCAAGGAAAGCACAACATCAAAAATATGGTGGAAACTTTTTTAAAAACTAGAGTGTGATAATTTTTAAAAACTAGAGTGTGATAATAATTTAATGAAACCATATAAAAGATTAAAAAAATTTCGTATTAATATAAAATTAGGTATATAATTTGCAACTCATCGTCTATATGGAATTATTTTAGATGAAAGGGATTGTGTTATTAGGAGATTATTTCTTAGAAATTAATACCTTCTTGAGTTTCATTTGTATAACATAAAAAGTTAAAGAAATTTCAAAAATATTTACCTTATATTGAAATTTATTTAAATAATATTAAAAGAGCAATAGCATTTATATTTCTTTAAATTAAAAGAACACACACACGTGTGTGTGTGTGTGTGTGTGTGTGTGTGTGTGTGTGTGTGTGTGTGTGTGTGTGGGGGAGAAGGTCAATCTCCATCCCCAGCCCATCCCTAGGGTTGGGGAATTTTCTTGGGTCCGAGCCCGTCCCGATCCTTGACTGGGCGAGGCAAACACCTATCCCCAATTTATGAGATGCACAACTTCAATGGATCATGTTTATTTTCTAGAAAACCACAATCCCTCGCAATGCCTCATGAGTCAGGGGTTGTTATGGGCCGATTTTGGACAATAGATCTTGTTTGATTTTCCAGATTCGTTCAATGCCAATCATGACTTAGCACAACTAGATCAAATAGTAGAACCGAAATCAATCGTGCTGGCAATGCCGACGCTGACAATTTGTGAGTAATTAATGAGGAGGTGCAAACTCTAACGTTGACAAACTGGTAATCCAAATCTGGTTGCGGGGACTTCAACCGCTCCACAGATGATGGACATGACTGGAGCATTGACCACAGTTGTCCAAACTCTACAACAACAGATGGCTACCTTGCAAGGGACAGTACCAGGGTAGCAGGCCCCAAATCCACTTAACATAACTAGCACTGCAACTCCGACTGAGAGACTGAAATAATTTTGTTATAAAAATATACGTTCCTTTGGTTCACGTATTAGGAAAATTATTCTAGTTTTCCCAAAAAAATTAATTTTATTTTTTTTAATCTCTTTAAATTTGTTAATTTAATTAAATAATAAAATTTGACAAAAACACCACGATAACCTAAATTTACTAGATTTCGGCTACTACTACCGAAAGGTGGCTGGAATTTGATGTAATACGTCGATCTAGCGTTTTCCAACCAGATCTACGGCCAATCGTAGACAGTTGTCAACGACGGCCGTATCTTTGGCCGTCATTAACGACCAAATGCGGCTAAATCTGGCCGTCAATGGCCAAATCTAGCCGCAGATCTGGCATTTTCCGGCCAGATCCACCGAAAATGCTACATTAGCGCACTACCGGCAAAATCAAGCTGATCATGCGCCGATAAGGCAACTCCGACCACCCTCCGACGGTGGTGGCCGGCTATTTGTATTATGAGTGGATTAAAAGTGTTTTTGTTAACTTTGAATATTTTATTATAAGGATGTTTAGTAAATAAATAAACATAGGAGTATTTATGTTAATTTTTAAAATTTTAAATCGTAATACCCACCTAATTTAAATTTTTTTAAAAGATTATTCTAAAAATTACCTAATAATAAACCAAACGGAATCATAGTTGTCATAAAATTATAGTTCTTATAATGATCAATAACTATATGATTATCGTTACCTAGTATGATATCCTATATTTGATATTCCTTTCACATTTTAGGTCTGATAAAACTTTAATCTAGTTATAACATTTTTCAATCATTTTTATAGTAGATATAAAAAGTTATGCAATCATTGATATGCAATCATTGACATGCAATACTGAAGATTGATTTTGCCTCGTATTTTATATTCAATTTACTATTGCAATTGTTTTTGTTGCATTTCTTGTTCAAAATTAACATGGATCATCAATTGATGGTTTTCTATATGTCAATTATAATGATTAAAGCTTGTTGCTTTTTTCTCCTATGTACTGTTAAAATGGAATGTCTACAAATAATAAAATAAAATTCAGGGTCTTATTTTAATTGTTGTATATATAAAAAGTTAAAACCTCCTTTACTCGATGTAACATTCTTTAGGAGCTTTTTGTTTCTTCGTAAAATATTTGAATAATGCACGGAGGGAGTTTCAACTTTATCAGATAGGAATTTGGATTTTAATTGTGATTATAAATTGTAAAGAAAAATTCAATTGTTCTTAATGCTGGTGTTTCCTATTTTTATTTTTTATTTACGTCACATTTTATTCAAAAATTCACCATGAAATGAAAAAAAAATTGTAATAACTAGAATAATATATATATATATATTTAGAGAGATACATTATAGGTCAATCATGATATAATATATATTTTTGGGTTACAAGTTTTCCTATTAATTCAAAACCCTAAAAATTAGGACATTAGTCTGTGAACAATTGAAGGCTATAATGCTAGGGCTTTTGAAAAGGAATGGCCGATGAGTGGAATGGCGGCAACGGCGCCGATTTTTGATGAGCGAATCGACCGGAAATTACAAAACAATGTTATTGGAAAAAACCCTTTGTCGCCGACAATTGGGGAGGCAACGGGGGAGGGATGAGATGTATTTTGGTTAGGAGACTGAGGAGAGTGTTTTCATGGTAATTGGGAGTGTTATTGTCACTGAAAATAGGCCCTATTTGACGATATTGACTGTGGTGTTTGATGGGTTTTTACAAGATTTCAAACCTATGGGGACTTACATGTAATTTTGAGGAGTGTTTTGTTAGATTTTAAACATTTGAACACCGATTTGACCCACAGTTCACATTGGTTAAATCGCTCGACCCATGACCCGGTGGGCTGACCAGGTCACAACACGAGTCGGGTTTCTAATCACTAATATATTTATCTCTGTCTTTATAAATTCTATGTATAAAAATAAGATTTATTTTTCCATGTACCCTTAATGGTCCTTAAAAAATTAAAAAATATATATTTCATTCATTCGCTACATTCTTCGCTCATTCTGCAAATAAAATGTATTGTTTTACAAATTACAAATAAAATGTAATGTGTATTTGATTATTGGATCCTCACAAAAAAAAAAAATAATAATAATAATAATAATGGATTAATTTGCAGTCCAATGATTCACATATTGGGACTATAATAATAATAATAATAATAATAATAATAATTTGAATAATTAAATTAGAAATAAAAATCATATTACCTAAAATCTTAATATAAGAAGTACGATTCATTGATAAAATTAGTAAAAAAAATCGATCATCTTAAAAGATATTGTGGGAGTTCCGAGTAAATTAGACGCCGCCAATAAAGTTAAAATTAAATTTAGCTTTTGACTGTTAATTTAGTGTTTAATCAACAGGTAAATGTGCTGCAATTTTCTCCAATTAACAAAGCATTGATTTAACCTGTCCTCAATTTGCACTGCTTGATTTTACCTGTGACGTAACGTTAAATTCCTCTTTGATTAGTGAAGTAATAATCAAAAGCTTTCACAAAGAGGTTTTTGTTTCTTTGTGAAATAAAGTCATAAAGAGATCGCGTGAGTTTCTTCTTTATTCGACAAGGTTGGATCTTGGCTGCGAAATATAGTTTTCTTTTTTTTTTTTTTAATATTTTTGGTAGATTAAAACATTTTATTAAGTTACATATATACAAGTATATCAAAAGATAGATAAAGATATCTTTTCTACAGTAAATTCTAATTGTTAATTATTATTTTTTCTTTAAGAAATTATTGGGATATTTTGGCCCGCTTTTCTTATTTGTTTCTATGTCAAGATGTATATTTTATGGAAGAACTATGCAACAAAAATACAATTGAAAATAGGAATATAATTTAAGAAATTGAAATCTGAATCCTATTAGAATTAAAATATCTCATATCCTACCTATAAATATAGGAATGAGAACTAATTCAAGATTATGAGAGAATGTGAGAACACAAGGTATTTGATGTAAGAGTTATTAAACACCATAGGGAGAGTGTCTTAGAAATTGGGATCGTTTTCGCTTTGTTTTATATATCAGGTTTATGGTCATGTGTACTCTTGTATATCATATTCATAAAACTATAGTGAATTTTCCTCATCCATAGATGTAGGCGGATTATGTTAAACCACGTAAATATCGTGTCTCTTTATGTGGTGTGATTTTATTCATATGTTATTAATCTCGAATGTATGTATTCCATTGTACAATCTCCTAACAGAAATTACTGCAACGACAAGCGTTATACAATGACACACCAATATTTTTTGTGACATTGTTGCTAAGTTATAGTGAGATACACATTTTCAAGTTCGAACAACGACTCATATGCGTTGGAATAGGTCTTTTTTGTTATGGTGATTGTCGACATTATTATTTAGAATGTAAATTTGTAAAATTAATTTTTTTATAATGTAATAAAAATATACATGTAATTTGATAATGTTAAACTATTATTAATTCATTTATGAAATTTGAGATAATCTCATATATTTACTGTTAATTATATGCATGTGATCAGTTTACTAATTTAAAACTTTATAATTACTTTAAACACGTGCAATCTTGGGTGTCCTGATGATCATTAAAAAATCATTGGATACAATCTCCTAGATTCTTCATATAAAACTCAACATGTATACTAAAAGTAAGAACGTTTAATTTGTGGCCCACGATGCAAAAGTTTAAGGTCAATAGCATACCAATCTCGTTATTAGTTTTTTCTTGAAAGAAAATAAATTATAGATATCTACACTGTCTTTAATTATTAAAGTTATATTCAAAATCATATGAAATTCACCTCTCGATAATATTCAATATGTATATGTTTGGAAATTTCTATAATTTAGTTTCTAACTAGACCTGTTAAGATCATATTTGTCCTTCCCCATTCTAGTTATGAATTGTTAAAAATTTAATATCAAATTTCTTTTGAGGATATTAATTAAAAATTAACACATACTTCTAATCTGAGCTCTCCTAAGCTTTAATTTTTTTTTATTATTATTATTATTATTTTTTTTTATAACTGGGGTATTCGGGTCAGCTTACGCACATCTTAACTAATCATCGGGGTTCCTTGAACACTTTACAAACCTAAAGGATTAAGTAAACCACAATATTATTATGGTAGGTAACTCCAAGGTTTGAACCTAAAAATTCAAAAAAAGGGAACAAACCTCCACCGCTAAACTAACCCCTTTGGGTTTGGCCTAAGCTTTATTATTGTCTAAACATATTTACAATCTGCCCAGTTTGAGGGTCTCTTTCAATGTTTTTTTTTTTTTTTTGAAAAAAGAGAAATATATAGATGACCAATAACGACTGCATTTTCCTAAAAGGTGGAGCCAATAATTTTTCTTCTTAGGGGATTGTGAATGACAAAGAAAAGACATAAATTTAACCTTAGAATTGAACCTAAACAAATTGTGTAGCGGACCCCAATGTGGCTCCCCTTCTGATTGTACTAAATTCGGATGTCCATAGCAATATCTTTCATTGGCTATAAAAGTAACAACAACAAATTCTTATAAGATCAATATATGTGTTGAATGAGTACAAGTCTATTATCCTTACCAATTCAAGTCTTTTCTTGGTTATTTGTGGTTAGGATTTTTTTTTTTGGTCGTCTTTATCTAATTAGCTTAAAGTTAAACATTCGGTATTTTTCTAAGAGTATTAGTTTGGGATTCTGGTTTGATTTAAGCCGAACATAAGGTAAAGGGGTCGCTTTGAGTTTAATACTATTGCTTGTGTTAAGCGTTTGTTTTCTGTTGTCTTAATCTGATAACTTAAGCTTTTAAGTCAGACATTTGGTTTTTTCAAGTGTATTATTTTGGGATTCCAGTTTGGTTTTTAAACATAAAGGTAAAGGGGTCAGTTCGAGTTTAATATTATTGCTGTGAGTTGTGTTAAAATTCTGAACTAGGTCCACAAAAATGATTCCAACTGGGTTTAGATTCAATCCCACCGATGAAGAGCTCATTGATATACTGAAAAGAAAAGTATGTGGACAAGAGATGCCTCTCCATGATCGTTTTATTGTTAAAAGAAACATATATGAGCTTGATCCTCAAGACTTTCATTGTGCGTTAAGCTACATTTTGTCTTTCTTCTCTCTTCATTTATTTGATAATTCTTCTGTTTAACACTTATGATGTCCCGTATGCTTGGGTTTTCTTTGACATTCTCACTGTGTGCTTGGATTTATTTATTTTTATTCTTTTTCAACTAGATTTTGCATTAGCATCATGGGATATTGTGAAAGTAATTTTATATATATATATATTAAATATGCTTCTACGGTCGTCATTAAAGTATGGGCATCCTCAACTTCTTGTTTCTTTTCAAAACTTGTCTCTGCTACAATGAAGTCTTGACTTAACATTTGCCTATAGTTCTCTCATTCCAACCTTGCACAGAGACTTACATTTACATAAACTGAAAAACTTTCTTTTTCTTTTTTTGTTTTTGATTTTGTATAGTTTCTCAATTTGGATTGGGCATCATCTTTTCTACCAGGATGCTCAGACGATTTTCCGATGCATTGTATTGCGTCGGAGTAGAGTGACATCGACATAGGAAATAACTAGTCTGGCGTTGGTCCTACGCCAGTGTTGCCCTTTTTACTAGTGGTGTCATATCAGAGATATAGAGAAGCTTTAAGTGTGTGCAGATTAACATATATAATAGAGAATGATTCATATACTAAGAGATCATTATTAGACAAATGAGTCATATTTAATTTCTTGTGGGTTTAGTCAACATAGTAACGTTACCAATTAACAATGCAATGATATTTTTAAACTATATATATATTTTTTTTTTTTCTGATTTATCTATTTTCTATGTTGATATAGGGGATCACACCGTTGTCTTACCCAGTAATGAGAGATATTGTTACTATATGAGGGAGACTGATTCCAGAGAAGTACCAGAACGAGGATGGTGGAGAGCTACAGGTCACGTTAAGAAAATCAATGCCAACGACAAAAATGTGGTGGGTTACAAGAGACCCCTAACATTTATTAGGTTTAGAGATAGTGAAAGAAAGCGTAAAAATGCCTTCAAGACCAATTGGATTATGCATGAATACAGTCTCAACTCAAACACAACGGTTAGTCCTAATTTGTTTTTGTTTTCTTAATTTATATATCAATATCCATCCTTTTTTTTGCAAGTATATATTAGGAATCAATCTCTAGTTAGAATGTCCAAATATTTATTATGTCAGAGCTATACTTAATCAATCACTATTGGATTTTTATCTACAAAATATTATTTCAATCCAACAAGTGAATCCAATGGTATTTAAGTATAGTTCAGATGTAATTAATATCAGGACATCTTAGCTAGAGAATATCCGTGTATATAATGCTATATGAACCTATCCTAGTATGTTGTAAGTCATTACTGTTATGATTATTCATGGTATATATTTCTTGTAAATCCTTAGGCTTAATTTCATTATATAATAATACATGTCGTGTTTCTTTTGAATCTCAATCATAAAGACTTCACAAAATCATATATGGGATTTTAAGTTAAATATGAAAGCCCAATTTAGGATAGTTTTATCTTTCACTTTCTTTTACTAAATCCTTTTCTAATATCTTTCTTATTAGATAATGGTAAAAAAATTTGTGACAACACTTATAGTCAAGTACTAATTCATGGTTCAGGCTGAGACCTTTATTAAGAAGAATAGAAAGGAATAAACGAATTGACTTTAGGGATTTAAAAAAACTAATAGGAAGAAGAAATAATATAAAGTATATTTAACATGCATGAATACTCAAAAAAAGAACTTTTTTTTTTAGTGGCTTTTTGACCAGAATTGATCGCTAGCATGCTTCTAAAGTGACTAGAAATCACTACTATCAACTCTACTTTGTAATGTCCTTTCCACTTCTTCTTCTTTTCTCAGCAATTCCTTTTGGTGATCCTGAATATACTCAGTTTCTGTTGAGAACATCTAAATTTTCTTCTTTTTCTTTTTCTTTTTTTCAGGAATGGAGGCTTTGTAAGATCAAGTACAAGGGCAAGGCAAGTGTAAAAGAAGAGATGGAGAATATTAGAAAAGGTTACTTTAAATTAACGAATAGTTTTGAATCGAGCAGCCCTTCAATAATGGTGATGGAGCCTGATTTTGTTGACGAAGAACAACAACAACGACAACAACGACAGCTCTTAAACCTAGAAAATAATTTGCAGGAAACATATGATTCAATGGGCATGGAGCTTCATTTTTTTAGTGAAGCACAGGAGAAAATATTACAAGTGCCAGAGGCTTTACAACTTGATGATGAAGTGATGAATATGCAAATTCTGGATCACCAACAACAAGATCAACAGCAATCAAATGCTTCATATGATCCAATTTTAACTCACATTTCGAATTCAGATTATTATTTTGATGATCAAATGGAGCAGCCGGATTCATCAGAGGAATTATTTCCCAGCCTTTGGTCTTGGTAAAATTAGAATAAGGTAGCTTGCATGAATGTTTGATTATATATATTTATTTCAGATTTCTCCAGTTTTGTATGATTAAGAATTATATTTTACATATATGTGTTCGTTTTGATTCATGCAATAGTTTCATTTACTTAATTTTTATATTCTTTGAAGTGGTTTGAGAGAATGATTTGTTGACAGAATTATAAAAGAAAAGATCTTGGAGAGTATTTCAGTTTAAAAAATTAGATTTATTAACTATTAATAGAGATAAAAGAAAAAGAAAAAAAAGTCAATCTCCTGGGTTCTTTAACTTACATTTTTTAACGATGGCCAAAATGTAATTAGATTTTGATAATCTACAAAAAAATTAATCAATCAAATTTACTATACAAGGGGATAAAATTTACTATACCAGGGGATAAGAGGCAAACCACCAAAAAAAAAAAAAAAAGGGATCAATCAAATGTAACATCTCTTTTGCTTAAAAGATATTTATTTTCTAGGCAATACTACACTTACAATCCAATCTCGCAAATTTTCTCTCATAATCTCAACACGATAGTTCGTAATTGGTCAACTCATAATAGATCCCGTCTATCCAATTGTGTGCTAACTAATTACAAACTATATCACGTTAAAGTTGTGAGAAGAAATTTATAAAATTGAATTATAAATCAATCTTTATTATTATTTCCTTGCCATCACGACAATATATTTCTCTTGTGCAGTCCAATGTAGAGCTGTTGAAAATTTCATCCTGGGAGTACGGAAAAAGTACTTACTTTGGTTCAATAAAATCTAAAAAAATTATTATAATCCCTGTCAGATTATTGCGGTCAAAGAAAATTAAACGGTGTAAGGGTATAATTGTCATTTTACACTTTTAAGAATAGTAAAACCAAATTAAAAAAATCAAAAAGAAACATTTTAATTATAAAAGTATAAAATTATCTTCATTAAGAAAAAGAAAAACAATTAAGGACAATAAAATTACAAATAACATTTGACATGAGAATTTTTTTTTATTTTTAGTTTTTTTATTTTAAATCTTTAATTTTAGTTTTGAAAATGTTTTCAATTTTTTATAAATTCTATTTATTTTTGTTTTTTTATTTCATTGTAGTTTTATTATATTGATCTCTAAAGTCCTAATTTTTTATTCTTCCTAATAAGATAAATGGGTGTATAATATACATTTCAGTTTCACACTCAACAGGGACTATAATGACATTTTCAAATTTTACCGGATCAAAGGGTATTTTCTCCAAACCTCAGGGATGAAAATGTTATGAACTCTCCTCTGCATGATAGGTGTCACCCAAACGTGGAACAAGAGTAATAAATTAAACCTTATTTGTAAATGTACCCGAATAATTGATAATATCTCACTTCTTCCACCAAAAACTTGATATAGTAACAGTTGTGTATCACAAGTTAAAAGTTAAAGATCATCATTGATTAATCCTTGGATTCTTCTATATACGGCAACACTAACATGATCGAATCTTTGGGGACGACTTTTGAGAACCTTGTCAATCACTTTTTATCTTCGATAACATTTCCACTATATTTTTTATTTGATTCATGATTTCTTATGATATCATGTCACTTCTATTTTAAAACTTAAATTTTTGTTCTTAGGCTTGTGTCAAATTTGTGTTTTCTTGATCATCTTCTATCATATCCCACGGATCTCGAGAGATGAAGAGTTATGTTAACAACTAAAATATCTTAAAAGTATATTAGAGTTTAATCAAATGATGAATAATTATTTGGTATATTTTTTTTAAAAAGGTTTTTAAGATAGAATAGTTGTTTGGTATATTTTCTAAAAATATTTAGATTATTTTTTTAACCTCCTATATTTGTTAATTTAGCTAAACACTTCAACAATAAGAGTTTAAAAATTAACTAAAGCACTCCAGTCACCCAAAAGGAAAGCCGATCGTTAGCCACCACGGCCAGATGATAGCCGATAGTCGTCGGAACGCCACACAATCGGTTGGATCTGGCCGATCGTGCGTCGACATAGTCGTTTTCGACCAGAATGTAGCCGTTGAAAGCCAAATTCTGGTTGTTGCTACATCTATAAATCTAGCTATCGTCAACGACCAAATCTCGACCATAATTGTTAGTGCATGCCCTAGGAACCAATCGTGTTATCGGTTCCAGGACATTATATCTTGTACAAATTTATTATTAAAAGAAAGAGTTTTGATTCCACATGTTGTTTATTACTTCTTCTGTATATTTAATATTGCATGTAAAATATCCAGATGACACAGATCTACAAAAGATCAAGTCATGGAAGCATTCCCAACGTAGGTAGTGTTAATTGGACAATAACATTGTATAGTAGGCATGCTGAATGTCTCTATTAAATATCATGTGATGGTGAATATCATGTCTCCATTAAATATCATCTTATATAAACGGTTGCATCCGAATTAATGTATTGGTAAGAAATAATTATCCATGGATAGCTAGTACTAACCAAGGGTAATAAGGATTTATTATATATTATTATTGAATCGTATTCAATAATGGAGGCAATAGTGCATTGGTTTTATTCTAAAGAGTTATAATATTTAATGGGATTAAAATTTGGGTTAATTATGAATTGACCATAAAACCAAGGGCTTGAAATAAATGCTCTTTCCAAGATTAATTTTAAATTATTTGAGCCATTCCCAAAACAATTTAAAATTGCACTTTGTGCCCATGGTATATAAATAAAGTGTTATACCATTTTTTTCAAAATGAAAAACAAAAACACTCACTTTCTCTCTCACTCATATTAGGCTCTCTTTTCCTTGGCTTGAGTAGACTACATTTTGAAGTTCTTCAAGTTCATTTGAAGAATTAAGACTGAAAGAAAGAAGATTCAAGAGTTGAATAGTAAAGGAGTAGGTAATATTTCACCCTTACCTTGTAATATTTTTGGCTCATGTGTTATGTTTGTGTTCTACCTTGGATCCATCACTTTGGTCATCATTTTCACTCTATTTCCATGTCCTAAATGAATGAATCCCAACAAGAATCTGACCCTCAACGGCCAGATCTCAGGCCATAAATGTGGCCGAAAACGACCAGGTCATGCACTATTCCGGCCATGTCGAGCTACAATGGTTGTCAGCGATAGCCGCCAACGATGGTTGCTAGCAGGCGATGGTGGTCTTGGGTGGATTAATTTTCAGATTAGAATAAGAGAAAATTGAGAGAGAAAGAGAGAGGACGGTAAAGGAAGGAAAGAAAGAAAAAATTTTTAAGTTGGAAAAATGTTTTCAGTTGAATATAGTTGGATAATCTGAAAACAAGTCTCACCCTCTTTTCATTTTTAGACAAAAAATCTTATTTTAGTTGAATTGATTTTCATATTGGATTGGCCCAATAAGTAAATAAACACATATCCTATTTTTTAATTCAAATAGATTAGCAGAATAATGATACAGGATAGTGTAACAAACAAAGGCTTAGTCTATGTATACTTCCTTCTAATCATTTTTATTGTAAATGCATGAGTCTTGATTAGAAATGCCATTTACTTATGAAAGCTCCAAGAAAACATGGTTTTTTTTTTTTTTTTTCTTTTGGGACCAAAATATCACTTTTCAATATGTGGGGATTAAATAGATTTGTCAAGTTTTACATCTTTATAATTTAACCCATCCGGTCAATCAAATTACATATCTAGATTTTATTTAAATTTTAGGCTAAATTGGCATTTTTTTTTTTAAATGACGGAGGTTTTCGGGCCCCCACTTTCCTCAAGGTCCACTATAAGCCAAACCCAGGACATGCCAGGCTAAATTGGCGTATTTTAGAGTTTGAGGGTTAAATCTTGAACTTTGACCCATCCAGTCCACCGAATTTGCTTCTGAATTGGCCATAATCACTCTAAAAAAATGCTCTACCAAGTCGATCGACCGGTGTTGTTTTTGAGGGTTATAAAGGCCAGAGCCTCGTAGACAAATTTATTGTAGTGGTGGATGAATTTTAAGTAATTCAAGATTTATTCTCCATAAAATTATTATTTATTAACAAGTTTAAAATTGGTATTTTAACCATCAAAGTTGGTCAAATGCAAATTCATACCGACGGAGACTGAGGTTTTTATTACTGGCCCCCCTGAAGGGTTGTTAATTCCGGCGGCACAGCCCTAATTGGAAAGTATGAAAAACTCCCTTGCCGTTAAGACTGCATCCAAAAAAGTCAACCAAAGTCAAGGGATTTGTAGTCTTTTTCCATTTTGACCTTCTATGCTATATGGTGATATGAAATTACTAAAAAGCCCATCGATTGATAATTACTAAAATATCCTAATATGATAGGGATTATGTTTCAATGTTAGTAACTTTGCGGCTAGACAGCAAGACTTTAGCATCCGAGTGAGTTACCCAAAGGTCATGTATTCAAGTTTTACAAAGTGATCATCTATCACATTTGTGACTTACTTGACCAATTAGGTTTGTAAAGTGTTCAGTAGACTACAAAAATTAGTTGAGACACGCACAAACGGGCCGAATACCCAATTAAAAAAAAACTTACCCCAAAAAAAAAAAAAAGTGAAAAATAATGATTTAAAAACCCAAGTTCGCTGTAATGGAACAATTACTTAAGATACTTATGATTTTTTAAATAATAATTTAACGTTGTTATTTTTTTAACATTAAATTAAGACATGATTTTATTAACATTTTTATTCAAGGTCACTTAGATAAAATTTGGCTTATGAAGTAATGCTTGTGCAATAAATTACTTGAGAAAACATTTTTATTATTAATTTATCAATTGGGCAGTGTTGACGTGTACATGGCAAGGCCAAAAAACATCAGACGTTGCACATGGCCACTGCACAAGACGGTTGCACTGAAGAGTTTTTACTTTTTTAGGCCATATAAGATACAAAATTTCAGATGAAACCCCGAACATTTTTCATAAAACTTCATCAACCATGCAAGGCAATTCAAGCTCATCAGGGCAATCGGTTTCTCATTCAAATATTGAGCTACAAGAAGAGATTGATGGATGCATAATAAAGTTTTTCAACAGAAGGTGTGACTGTGGATACAAAGCTCTACTTCAAGTGTTGCTATGGAAAATGTCAATTGACTTCTACACATTTTGGAAACCAACAATTGGGGAGTTCAATTCAACAATATTAACACAATCAACAACTAGTATGCAAAATGCTAGAGGAATGAATTAAGAAAGATATACACAAAACTGCAGAAAATGGAGGAAATGCAAGATAAGCTGCCATGAGAATGAAATTTCAAGTTTGTAACAGAAGTGGGATGCAATGCATGGTGATCTAAGAAGTTCTAACAAAAACTTGTCTTTCATAATATATATGCTGATTATTGGGATATGTGTAGTGATGTTAATGAAGTAAAACAATGTAAGAAATTTAATAATAATATAGACTTTCATATTATAATAAAAACCTGATTATTGTTTTCCAAGGTATCACAAGAACATTCAAACAATCACATTTTTAATGGTGTCCCAAACAAACAACAGAAACAGTAATAAAAACCCAGAAACATAAAATGATATTAAACCATCAAAAGCAGTTGATTTGTTCATTGGATATAACAAGTCACCAATGAAGAAATCAATCGCGCACACCTATTGGGTGGAACAAAAAACATACACTACATTCTAGCATTACTCGTGGCTGAGAAGGTCCAACAAATTGGGATTCCTGTTCTTGAACTTCTTTATCAATCCTGTCCCACACTGCCATATAAAGTTCTTACATCAAAAAATAAATAAATATATAAATTTCATAAAAAAAGGCAATCAAAGAAGCAATGAAAGGTAACCAAGAAAACAAACTTACATTGAGGTTATCTTCATCAAATTGTGATCCTGTTTCTTCATCCTTAACATGACTAGGCTTGGACAAATTGACCTCTCCAGTATCTCCACTTGCCCTTGATGATTCAGAAGGCGATGCCTGGGGTGTAACACTTGTAGAAGTTTTTTTCTCTATTTTTCTGCATTGTTAAAGGACAAAGATCAGTTTGAAGACAAATAGTTTTAAAAGATTATAACACAAATTTGGGAAATTACTCACCATTGCTCTCATTCTCTTCTTGGCA